TGGGGTTGTTGTGTGTGGTGTGTGTGTGTGTCGGTGTGTGTGTGTGTGTGTGTGTGTGTGTGTGTGTGTGTGTGTGCGCGCGCGCGCGCGCGCGCCGTCGCGCGAGCCATCGAGCGCGCAAGAAAATGAGGGACTAGGTATAGTAAAAGGAAAAGAAAACTTCCTCAATGAAAAGTGAAAGAAATCCATTGCGTGGAAAAACGAGTTTCCCAAGGAAGCGGGAAGTCCGTGTTGATGCACGTACGTCGATATAATCCAACGATTTTCTTTCGGCGAATACTCGAGTAATGCTTTAAGGATGTATTACGCCTGCTTTTATGATTTATATTTACGATGAAAAAATTATGAAAAAACTTGGATCTCCCCAAATCACGTTTACTTAACCCGAAAAGGTCTAGCTATAGTTTAAACGCGTTTAGCTATAGTTTAAAAATTATTTAACTATTTAAATAAGTAAGTAGAAGTATTTTAATAGAAATATAATTGAGAAATAATGACAAAAATTTCAATTTTTTTTTTTTAAATTTTATGTAAGTGAAATATTCAAGATGATTTATGTACAGTTTTAACGCGAGTTTGCGACGCACAGATTATTCGTTTGATAAATAAAAATTTGCACCTTTCTATTTTATATTTAAATGATTTTTTTATCCAGATTCTAAATCGCCGCAAAACTTTTCGTATTTACTTTTAAACACCTTCTAAAGGTGTCTTAATATTTCCTTAAGCGGAAATGATCGATTGGCGTCAATGTTTAATTGAACGTAATCGCGATTGAGTCAATTTTCGCTGCCTCGGGCTTATGGCAATAATTATGATTATCACTCCGCGACTTGCGATATCTCCGTTTCGTCATTACTTCATTTTACTCGAGCCGTTTCCATTGTGTAACGCGTAACACGCGTCCAAAGTGGGAAATATCGTAGCCGTTGCTCTATACGCAACAGTTATACATTGACCATGCGCAATAACTATTTCTAAACCGACGGAGGAATCGTCGCCTTCGCGAATCATTCTTAACTTTATTGCGATACGTCGTGTACGGACACGTGTACCGTGCGGTATGCGTCATTGAAAAGTACGGAAAGTGCATGCAGTTCAAGTATACATATATAGAGCCCCGCGTTCCTCGCGCGCATCTGTGACTCGGACGAGCTGCGATTATTTCTTTGCGCGCCAGAAAAGCTCTCGATGAGTCGGCGCGTCGAAATGAAACGTAACAGGCGACACTGAAACGCTGAAATTATTTTGGACTCACCCATGGATATATTATATATTTAAATCGCACCCGTATATTTATATTAATTAATATAATTTATATTAATTAATATATATATATATATAAAATTTTAACATAATTAAAATGTATTTAAAATTTTCTATTTAAATTAAAAATACTTTCCCTCGAGATGCACACGGAGGATTTAACGCAACAACGCGTTAGCCCGCTTTCTTAAAAATTTGCGAGATATCCATTTAAACCGATAAATTGTATCCATAAAATATATTCATAAGTTATATCCATAAATTATATCCATAAAAACCGAGAAATTAAATTTATATATAAA